AATCCCCAGCATCTCCAGTAAGGATCAGGTGCCAGGTGATGTGAGCCACTGCCAGTCAGAGGAGGCAAGGCTGACCTTGATGGACGATGGTCTGCTTCAGTATAACTCAGCTTCAGGTGTGTTCGTATCAACAACAAGAAGGGAGGAAGAAGGAGGAAGGAGGGGAGAGGAGAGGGGAAGGGAGAAAGAGGAGGAGGAGGAGGAGGAGAAGGAAGAGGAGAAGAAGGAGGAGAAGAAGAGAAGAGATTGGATTTATACCCCACCCTTCACTCGGAGTCTCAGAGCGGCTCACAAACTCCTTTCCCTCCCCCTCCCCACAACAGGCACCCTGTGAGGTAGGTGGGGCTGGGAGGGCTCTGACAGAACTATGGCTTGCCCAAGGTCATCCAGCAGCAGCGAGTGGAAGAGTGGGGAATCAAACCCTGTCCTCCCAGATTAGAGTCCGCGCACTTAACCACTACACCAAACTGGTGTATGGAAGAGGAAGAGGAAGAAAGAAGAAGAGTTGGATTTATACCCCACCCTTCTCTGGGAGTCTCAGAGAGTCTTATAATCTCCTTTCCCTTCCCCTCCCCACAACAGACACCCTGTGAGGTAGGTGGGGCCGAGAGAGCTCTCTCTCTCAAGAACTGCTCCTGAGAGAACAGCTCAGAGAGAACTGTGACCGACCCAAGGTCTCCCAGCTGGCTCTGTGTGCAGGAGGAGGAGGAGGCAATCCAACCCGGTTCTCCCAGATTAGAGTCCGCCGCTCTTAACCACTACACCAAATGGCGTATGGGACCAATGTGCTCTTCAGCGCCACCTCCCTGCATGCTTATGGTGACGATTCCTTTGTATCTGATGAGGAGAGCTTTGACTCTCCCTAAACTCCTCGTCGGTCTCTAAGGCCCTAGTGGACTTTAATTTGGCTGCTGTACTGCAGACCAACTTGGCTACCCTCTGAACCATTCTTCTGACATGAACAGTCGCAGTAAAAAAAACAACAGACAAGAGGTTGCAAACTACAATATTGGACTGAAACAGAATCCAAGAACATGAGCCGCATACTACCTTTTATTAGGGCCCAGAACAAAGCCAAAAACCAAACCGAAACAAGGGCAAACTTTCAAGCTCTCCAGAGTCCTTCTTCAAGTTGGATGTTTTAAAAAGGGAGGGGGGGGAGATTTTTCAGGCCTGGCCTTCAGGTTCCTTGTCTGCATTGTAGGTAGAACCAGGGGTCATTTCCTGCAGGAGCGTACAGGAGCGGCGCTCCGGCAGTAAGGAGCCCAGGGGGCGGGCACATGCAACAAGCCCCACCCCCTGCTCCCAGCAGCCCTCAGTCAGAGCAAGAAGCAGCCAGGTAAGCTGCAGAGCCCCCCCCCCGCTTTCAGGTACAAGCTCTCCCTCCTCTGCGAGGACAGATCTGCATGTCCTCCCCCCCAACAGCTAGCAATCCAAAACAGTCCAGTGGAGCCTGAGCAGTGGGTGTTGCCTTCTGACACACTTCCGGTGATGTCAGGGGGTGTGGCATATGCAAATAAGTTATGCTAATGAGCTCCTGCACCTCTTTTTCTACGAAATGACCCCTGGGTAGAACCCTCCCCCCCAAAAAAAAGTTCAGTCTGATGATTTGATGGAGCTTGCGCACTGTACTGCGTCAGGTCAGTGTGCTCTGATAAAAGGCTTCCTGGGATTTGTTTTCAGACGAGAAAAACAGCGTTGGTGAGAAAGAGAAACTAATGCTCTGATTGGGGTTCTGAAGCACCCTCTGGCCCAGTGAGGACTCTCCTGACAGAGCCGTTCACGGTGCCCCACGGCCTCCTCCCTGGTCGCGCCAACTATCTAGCCTCTCCTTCCAGCCCCTTCTCAACGCCACCTCCCGGTGTGCACTATTTTTATGGTAAACATCCAGTGGGGAGGGGGGAGTCACTTAACAAACAGGAGCGCCAGACGAACAAGAGAGAGTCTTCTCCCTCTGCATGAAAAGCACGGAAGGTGCCACTTGAAGGTCAAGGGCACCAGATGAAAGGATGCCGTGCGGGGAACCGCTGCCCCACGCGAGAGAGGCCGGCACGGCAGAAGTTCAAGGCAGATGAGCCTGCCGGCAGCCTTTCTCTGAATCTGCCTTTGCTCCTGAACACATCTGTTGTCGCAGCGCACTTTCCATTCACCCCCTTCTCTTTCCTGCGGCTGCCGCAGCTTCCGTACCATGACCCAGAGCATGGGGCCACACAGGGAGGCTCTGCCCCTCCCTCACTTCTCCCACAATGGGAGATCTGTAGAGCCTCCATGTAGGGGTGCAGCAGCGACCAGAGGGAAGAAAGGGAGGTCGATGCCTGTGGGATGCGGCAGGACCCCCCCCCTTTGTTGGGCAGCGGGAGGTAGGGTTGCCAGCCTCCAGGTGGGGCCTGGCGACCTCCCAAAATTGCGACTGATTCTCCAGATGACAAGAGAGCAGTTCGCCTGGAGAACATGGCTACTTTGGACAGTCGCTGCTAGGGCATTATACCCCACAGTGGTCCCTCCCCAAACTACAACCTCCCCAAATCTCCAGGTTTTTCCCAGCCTGGAGTTGGTAACTCTAAGACGAGTGAAAGAAAATGGAGAGAGAGGCTGTTTGCAATTTAGGTTGAAGAGCAGCTTTGTGAGCTTAGTTTTAGGGGTTGCGTGAAGAAATGCATTTTCACTTTGGAGGCTTCAAATGAACAAAACCTTCACTCCGAGTTTTAAAGCCCCCCCCCCCGGCAGAGAACAGGCAGGAAGGGGGACAGTCAGTTCAACTGCTTTCCAGACTTACCTCAGCCCTTTATACAAATGCTAATAGCTCTAGCGAGAAACAATGGGAGGGTTAAGTCTCCTCCCCCCCCAAGCAGGGAACAGAGGTTTGGTGGTATTAAGTACTAGAAGGACTTCAGGAAGAAACTTCTGGAAACTTCAAGAAAAACTTCTTTGACCCAGCCTGACCTGGTCAGTGGGTGGGGAAAAGAGGATGATAAAACACCTGGGAGGAAGGGCTCATTTTGGGTGCTGATTCCCTCGAAGCAGACAGAGCTCTTAACTGAGGTATGGAGGAGGTGGCCATTGCCATGTGCCGGCCTGAAGGAGGCTTGAAGGTAAAAATCTGTAAAAATTTGTAACTCTCTAAGCTAAGGAGCCTGCCTTATATTTACCAACAGATAGGGCCTATACAGAGAGAGGGATAGAGGAATTGCGTTTTACCCTTTTCGTTGGGAATCCCTTGCTCAATCTGGTGCTTGTGAATATTTTCTTCTTAATAAATACTTTATAACTTTTGATCCTGGTAGTGGTTCTCTGTGCCACCTAGACCTTCACTGTCTTGGACACGCTATTTTAAAAGGAGCGCCAGGAGGAAGGGGAGGGCATTCAGTGGCAACTGGCTACTCCCCTAGTGGTGCACAGGGCAGCAAGCTGTCCCTGTGGTAACCAGGTGCTGGGCAGCAGGAGACACAGAGGCCAGCCCT